AAGGGGGGGGGGGGGAGAAGAGAGAGAGAAAGAAAGAGAGGGGAGAGAGAGAGAGAAAGATATGAGAGGAGAGAGAGGGCAGAGAGAGAGAGAGAGAAAGAGATATGAGAGAGGAGAGAGAGTTTATAATTGTCGATCCAGTTCTGAGATCTGCGCAGCTCTGCAACACAACACAGCCATGTCTGTTACATGCAGCAGACTGACAATCTCATGTGTTAGATGCAAAATGACCAGAACTCGTGAACATATTTTCTTGTGCATTTTACATCTCACGTGCGTCATATAAGCCAATGTTTCGAGGCTACGCAGGGTCCCTTCTTCAGAGCGACATAGTAGCGCAGTCACTATATATCTGTATAGTCACTATGTCCCCCTGAAGAAGGGACCGTGATGCTCCCCGAAACGTTGGCTTATATTAATCATGTGACATGTTCAATAAACTGAACAAGGACATACGTTCACGAGTGCTGGTGAATTTGCAGCTAACATTTGGAGGTTTCACACGGCGCCATCCATGACATCACTGCGAGCACCAACATTCTCAAGGCAGAGGTGGAGAACGCTGTAGGGAGTGCAGGTGACTCACAATATCTACTGATGATCTCATCTCTCTATTACTCTGCTCCCTCCTCCTACAAGCATGTTCCTCATTAGCACCTGAGCTCTGCAGCACAACTGACTGTCTTCCCCCAGTCTGAGCCCTGAGGTAAGAGGCTGATACCAGGTCAGGTATTCAGACACTTACATTGCTTGCATTAATAAAATACATGTATTGATGTATTAATAAGTACAGATCTGCATTCATTTCTGTCTTTTATATCTGGATGGAGTTCAGTTTGAAGCTAAAGGGTCTGATTCTGGCAGCTTTAATCATCAGAATTCTAATTATTATAATGTGATTATAGAACCTCTTGAGAAAGTTCATCTTTCCCGTGCCTTGATTTTTGCGGCGGTCACGGATCAGAAATGTTTAACAGAAATGTCTCTTTTTTTCCTCCGGTGGAAACCATTAAGGCCGTCGGCTGATTGGGGAGCGGCTACTTAGTAGAATGACTGCGGCAGATTCATTGCTCATCTCCTCGGATGAGGTAATTCCCCTCCTGACAGATGGAGAAGCCAGGCGGGCTTCTCTGATTGGCGGGCGCAGCAGCTCTCTGTGACATCATCACAATCAGATCAATTCTAATTAAATGAATAAGAGCTTGTTTGGGTGAGAGGGAGAGACAGGAATTAGAGATGAGTGCAAGCTAAGTGAAATTAACAGGGGGAGGAGGATGGGGGTGATAGTAGGTATAGAGCCTGCAGCTTGTGGAACTACAGAAGCCAGCTTATGGTTAGGCTAACTGATAGTTTGCTTAAAGACACCCTGGGCAAACCAAAAACATTTGCCTGGGAGTGCAAATAATGGACCAGCCAAGAGGATTTCCATTATCTCTATAAGGAATGCAGGCCCAACTCACTGAGGCAGCAAGACAGGAACGCATAGGAAGCAACTCTTATCATTCCCTACACTTTATGGCCAAAAGTTGTAGACACCTGACCATCACACCTATACGGGCTTGTTGGACTTCCCATTGCAAAACCATGGATATTAATATGGAGTTGGCCCCCTTTTAATGGCTATAACATTCTCTACTCTTCTAGGAAGGCTTTCCACAAGATTCTAGAGGGTGTCCATAGGAATTTGGGCCCGTTAAGCCAAAAGTGTATTTCAGACGTCAGGTACAGATGTTGGATGAGAAGACCTGGCGCACATTCAGCATTCCAGTTCATCCCAAAGGTGTTCCAGTTCATCCCAAAGGTGTTCAGTAGGGTTGAGGTCAGGTACTGATGTTGGATGAGAAGACCTGGCTAAAAATCGGCATTCTAGTTCAATCCAAAGGTGTTCCAGTTCATCCCAAAGGTGTTCAGTAGGGTTGAAGTCAGGTACTAATGTTAGATGAGAAGACCTGGCTTACAATCAGCATTCCAGTTCGATCCAAAGGTGCTTCAGTTCATCCCGAAGGTGTTCAAGTTCATCCCAAAGGTGTTCAGTAGGGTTAAAGTCAGGTACCAATGTTGGATGAGAAGACCTGGCTCACAGTCTGGGTTCCAGTTCATCCCAAAGGTGTTCAATAGGGTTGAGGTAAATTACTGATGTTGGATGAGAAGACCTGGCTCACAATCATCATTCCAATTCATCCCAAAGGTGTTCAGGAGGGTTAAAGTGAGGTACTAATGTTGGATGAGAAGACCTGACTCACAGTCTGCGTTCCAATTCATCCCAAAGTTGTTCAGTAGGGTTGAGCTCAGGTACTGATGTTGGATGAGAAGACCTGGCTTACAATCTGTGTTCCAATATGTGGTGTTTTTTAAGGCTGAGTTGAGGGCTCTGTGCAGGCCATGTGAGATACTGGAGACCAAACTGGTCAAACTAGGTCTCAATAGAACTGGCTTTGTGTCCAAAATCGACACTCCAATTTATTCCAAAGCTGTTCAATGGAATGTGCAGGCCACTTGAATTCCTCCTAACTATACTCATCAAACCATGTCTTTATGAGATTTGGGCACAGGGGGACAGTCATGCTGAAACATAAAAGGGCCTTTACCACACTGTTACAACAAGGTTGGAATGGCGCCATTCTCTAAAACTTTCTATCTGTAACATTAACAGCACACTTAGAAACACCTGAGCTCAACAGTATGGAGGACAGTCCATAGACTTTTGGCCATATAGTAGGTGTGGTGGTCAGGTTCCACAAACTTTTGGCCATATAGTGTGAGACGAGTCCTTCAGGGAAAAAAAGGCAAGCCTTCAATCAACTCACAGTGACAGTTGGGTAGGTACATGAGCCAATACACAATACAAAAGACAGGTGCCCTACTAGGAAAGTAAGATACTCCTTATATCAACCTACAAAAGACAGAAGTGAACTAATAAGTATCTCCGACCTTAATAGTAAGACGAACATAACAGACAGAAACCCTAAGCACCAGCACAGACCTTCTCATTATCACATGGACAGTAGGGACAGACGGTGGCACTTACGTTAGTGACAGGCTCATGTGAAATCTCTGCCGCAGACCCCGGAACATGACAAACGATTTTGGAGGGAAGGAACGCGTGGACAGCTCGCAGTATGGCTTCTCGAAGCTTCCAGATGGGCACTGACAGGTGAAGCCTCCTTCCGCCAGATTGGTGCAAGTCCCCCCGTTCCTGCAGACCCCGGGCACACACCGTCCGGAGCCACTGTCCACTTCACAGTTGTCACCTGCAACAAAATGTATAGATCATTAGTCTTCCACGCAAGAGGAGGCCAAGTGTACGGCAAGGCAAAGTCTAAGCAAAAAACACATACATTACATCTCTGCAATATTATTATTACAGGTATTTATAGAGCGCTGACAACTTACACAGCGCTCACATGCACATTTCCCCATGCTTTATCCCTTTTAAAGACTGGAAGTACAGAAAAATAACAGCAGATCTGCCAGAATTGCATTCACCTCCTATGTCCTGTAGTAGGAGAACACACAGCATTGTGGGTGGTGGTGTCAGCCCTTCTAGATTCCTTTTGCTAAATTACTTAACCACTCCCACTATCTCCATCACCATAGGGACTAACTGACTTGCTGGGAGGACGCTAGTTTGTGTTCTCCCGTTACCCTAAGGAGAACTATGGGGAAAAGGCTTAACTCCATAGTTCTCCTTTAAAGAAGAGCTCCAGGGAAGTTTTTTCCTAACCCTTGCAATGGGGCTACACCCACACTACAAGGGTTAAGTGCTAGTTTTTGTCTAGGTGCAAAAATAACAAAGTCATACTCACCCGAACCTCGCGATGGTATGTCCCCTCAGTGTCCTCACATCTTATACACAGTGTATAGAACGTGATGACCTGCTGCAGTGGAGGGGGAGAGAGGTTCCAGGGACTGTTCTAAGAGCAAGCCGGCTCCGAGGTTTAGGTAAGTATGACTTTGTTATTTGTGCGCCTAGACAAAAAAGAGCACCTGATCTTTGCAGTGCGGGGGCAGACCCAGAAAAATTTCGCCCAGAGTTCTTCTTTAAAATAGGAACTAGGGGGGCTAAATAGGCTCTTTGAGCTCACACAAGAAGTGTTCACGGGACAGCTCTGAATTTCTGACAAGATCAGCAGGTTATAAAACAAAAAGATTTCCCATGTCATATTTAACAGGCCAAACTAGAGGCACACATAGAAACCTCAGTTCCCCGGGGCAAGAAACCATGAAGGGCCCCACCACCACCTGTGGAACGTTGGCCTGCTGCATGCTGGGAGCTGTAGTCCCAGGAGGCTATGTTGGCGCCTCGGCGGTTACCAGGACCAGGCCCTCTTCTTCCTTTCCGGGCCCTCCAAGAGGCGGAACGTCTGGGCCCAGTCGCATATGCAACTGCTGCGACCCTAGCACAGTGGTACCTCAGTTCACGAACAGGAAGTTCAGCAAAATCTTGTTTCCGTTCGCGAACTCAGCATCGGGTGACGAACACCACCGCAGCCATCTTCCCCGCTCTGACACGTGGTTGTGGCTTCCCGCTAGTCGAGATTGCGGCCTGATCACAGTTTGATTCGGCTTGCGACCAGAATTGTGGAACGAATTAAGTTCGTGAACCGAGGTACCAGTGTAGTTCCGTCAGTGGGCCACAAAGGGCACACATAGGAGTCAATGGTTAGGGTTTCCATACCCTCTAAAACAGTGGTTCTCAACCTGTGTAACCTCAGGACCCACATTTGTCTTCAGTCATTAAGTCGCGACCCAAGTCGCACTGCAATGGAATGCACAGTATTGCGGTACCGTGTTTTCCAGTGCAGGCAATTGAACTGTGGGTGGGAGGTGTGTTTGGGGTGCCATTACAAGAACTGGAATGGATCCTCAGCTGGGGGTCCAATGCTGGGCTGCTGTGCTGTGACGGAGCTCCATCCATACATGCATTGCTTGTACAACTCCCTTGCACGCCCTGTAGAGGTGCCGGGAGCCAGAATGTGACATCACTCCGGTCCAGGCACCTCTACAGGGCACGTAACCAATGCATGTATGGATGGATGGAGCTTCCTCATGGCCATAGCTCCAGCCCACCCCACCTGAAGCTGACACTCGACGCCGGGCAGCATATTCTGAATGGCTGCTCTGCGTGAGAACTGACAGTGCTGTGCTAGGAGGTGGCTAAGAGACTATCACCTTGAAAAGTGGAAGGCACACGGCGACCCACTGAACACGTGGTCGTGACCCACTTTTGGGTCACGACCCACCAGTTGAGAACCAAGGCTCTAAAACACAGTAAGGAGATCCTGTGACACAAAGTAACAATTCATACAATGCATGACTGGATCTAGATGATATTTTACTTCTGAAGGCAAGGGTTCACTAATAATTGTCTCGTTTATCCGTTATCTCAAAAACTGACACGGTGACGTCGTAGGCCCGGATCATTATGTTGCAGTAAGACTGAATCATGGATGAGAAGTATAGATTGGTCTTTCCATCACAGAAAGGATGAATGGGTGACCTTTACTTTAATGGTGGGTACAGACCATCCTCAGGGCTGATTAAGTGTGACAAGTCCCAGGACATGAAGAGATCGGTAGGCAGCAGCTGTCAGAGTGTTTTACAGAACGGCCCACCCGCAGCACCGCTACCCAGCAAACCCAAAGTACAGGCAGCGGCCTTTATGAAGATGAGCTACTGATACCGGTAGAAATTCTCATATATAATGCAAGATAGATCGCAGTGCCATAGAGCCGAGGTCCAGGTTGGGCTTAGGGTCCCCTTAGAGCACGGGTGGGCAACTCCGGCCCCTCCAGCTGTGCTTTAACTACAAATCTCAACATGCCTCTGTCTCTGGGAGTCATGTCTGTAACTGTTAGTCTTGCAATGCCTCATGGGACTTGTAGTTCCACAACAGCTGGGGGGCCGGAGTTGCCCAGCCCTGGCTTAGAGGTCCGCTTTAATGCAGTTGCTGCAGTGATGCAAAGCTGAGCTTTGAGGCTGTTCCAGGGAGGCTGCAGCAGGGGCTGATACAAATCAGATTTGTGAACTCAGATAAGAAATGCACAGGCACCAGGATTTAAGCCGCGATAAGATTATTATTTTTGTGTGTGTGTGTGTGCTAGTAAGCTGTGTGTGTCTACTCGCAATCCACTCCCCTCCTCCCCACTGCTCCCTCCATCTTTCTCCAAGCTAGTAGATGGACAGCTGCTGCAGACTGCTCTGTTCCTTTTGATCTTGTATGCTACAGGAACAGGGCCATCCCTATAATGAGGCAGCCAGGAGTTGAGAGGGACACTCTGGCCAACGTCCCGCTCAGCTCCTGGTAACCAGTGACATCAGTGAGCTGGGCAGGATGATGGCCAGAGCTGGATGATGCAGAGGCCACCGTTGACCCCTGACCTGGGACATGCTCCGCCAGCACTCCTCTCTGTACTTCTGTAGCTTTTCCCGCTCCTATAAATCCAATTCTACTTTCATTGTTTAACAAGAACCGGTAAAGCTCGGTGTGCCGCTTCCAGCACGTGATAAGTGACGTCACCGCTGACTGAATCCGGCCCAGGGTGGGACATTAAAGGAGAACTATGGGGTTAAGGGTTTTCCCCATAGTTCTCCTTAGGGTAACGGGAGGACACAAACCAGCGTCCTCCCGTCACCCAAGGCTCAGTATAGCAGTTGCTCGCGATATACTGAGACGCCGCAGCTGAAGAGGATCCCGACAATTATGCCGGGATCCGCCCAGCTGCGTGAGTGACAGCTGGCTCTGCCTATCTAGAGTCAGAGCTAGCTGTACCCGCCCCGTCCGTTCCGCCAGTCAGCGCTGGCGGACCGGAGGGGGGAGGGGGGGGAATCCAGCCCCTCCTCTGTCACGGCAGAGAGCCGTGACAGGATCGAGAAGTGAGCGAACGCCGGTATGTGTTCACTCACCTCCCGATCTACTGAGCCGACCTGTGACAGTCCCATTGTCACAGGTCGGCTAGAACTATGAGGTGAGTGAAAAGCACTCACCTCATAGTTCTCCTTTAAACTATACTTGCAGTACATTAAACCGTCTTCTCGGCCTTCAAATACATGTGAGTAAACCGCACGAGCAATGCGCGGAAAATACGCAGGGAAGAGGAAATGCTTCTGAATGTTATCACGTCGTCTCTGCGGTGTACAAAGCGTCTACTACTAGAACAGACTGCGAGGCTCCGCTGCCAGCGACAGATGGCACAATGCATATGATGCCTCTCTTAGCTTTCAACAGATAAACTTTCTGTTTCAGATGAAATGCTGACGGCACAAAACAAAAGTACAAACCAGACCGGCTTCGGCTTTTGGTTGCGCTGTTTAGGAGAAAACCAAACTTTCCGTGAAGACTCCCGCCTGCAGCAGAAAATGAAAGTCGACTTTTCGGCAACTGTACCAATCGGTATGAATACATTCTAGGGCTGCAGCTAACGATTATTTTCATAATCGATTAGTTGGCCGATTATTAAGTTCGATTAATCGGTTAATCGGATAAAAAAGAAAAAAAAAGGCTCCAGTGATGGACTACTAGTTTGTATTGAGATTGTAGTCCATCACCGGAGCAAGCTTGGCGCGGTGGAAGTAAAAAAAAGTGTGGTGTGCAATATAGTACATTATACAGCGGCGCAGTGCAGAATACCAGCAGCTATAGAGGAATGTAGCAATAGTACATTATGCTATAATGTACTATTGCTGGGATTTGTAGTCCTCTGTAGCTGGCGTTATTCTCCATTGCGCTGTATATAATGTATTGCTGGGATTTGTAGTCCTCCATAGCTGGTGGTATTCTCCATTGCGCTGTATAATGATTATACTGCGCAATGCAGATTACCACTGACCAGTTATAGAGGAACTACAAATCCCAGCAATAATACATTATACAGCGCAATTGAGAATACCACCAACTATAGAGGAACAACAAGTCCCAGCAATAATACATTATACCGGGTGTTTAATATATTATTGCTGGGATTTGTTGTTCCTCTATAGCTGGTGGTATTCTACAGTGTGCCGCTTTTTTTTTTTAAAACAGGAAACATTAAAACAGGTCCCCCTTACCTGTTTCTGAACCCTTGTAAGTCGCGGCGGCGTGCTCTGCGGGCGTGTGTCCGGCTTGTGTGGTGGGCGTGGCGTCCGCGGCGTGCGTAGCGTAACTCGTACCTGTTCCACCATAGCACCCCTGTACTCCTGTTCCACAACGGCACCCCCACACAACTATTCCACCATTGCACGCCAATACACCTATTCCTCGCTGCACCTTCATACACCTGTTCCACCGCTTCACACCCATACACCTGTTCCACACAGCACCCCCACACCTATTCCACTACTGCACCCCCAAACACCTATTCCACTACTGCACCCAAACACCTGTTTCACACAGCACCCTTGTACACCTGTTCCACCACAGCACCCCCACACCTATTCCACTACTGCACCCATACACCTGTTTCACACAGCACCCTTGTACACCTGTTCCAACACAGCACCCCCAAACACCTATTCCACCACATCACACTCATACACCTGTTCCGCACTGCACCTCCATACCCCTTTTCCACCACCGCACCCCCGCACACCTGTTCCACCACTGCATCCCTGCACACCTGTTCCACCACTGCATCCCTGCACACCTGTTCCACCGCTGCACCCCTATTCCACCACTGCACCCCCATACACCTGGTCCACACTGCACCCCCATACACCTATTCCACCACTGCCTCTCCACACAGCTGTTCCACACTGACACCTGGTCCACACTGCACCCCCATACACCTGGTCCACACTGCACCCCCATACACCTATTCCACCACTGCACCCCCATACACCTATTCCACCACTGCCTCTCCACACAGCTGTTCCACACTGACACCTGTTCCACCACTGCACCCCCACACACCTGGTCCACACTGCACCCCTACACACCTATTCCACCACTATATCCCCGCACACCTGTTCCACACTGCAGCTCCGTACAGCTATTCCACCACTGACTTGCTTTCAGAAGGTGGGCCCTCGATTGTCAGCGGGCCAGCGACGGGTGAGGGAGATCGCGCCGAGGAGAGCAGCGGCGTGCGCGGCTTCAGCGTGCGGTGGGCGTGGCTTACGCGGCCTGTGCCGTGGGCACGGCGGCCGCAACGGGAGAAGCGTGTGACGCGCGGCTCAGGCTGCATGTGGAGCCCCGAACAGGCAAATCAATCGATAGCCGACGAATCGACGATCGAAAACGTTGCCAACGTTTTCAATCGTCGATTTTAATCGACTAAATCGATTAACTGTTGCAGCTCTAATACATTCTACTCTGGCATTACGCAGACACAGCAACTGTTCAATAAAGCTCCAACTTCTATCATTAAAAAGCCCCTCTAGTGACTTTGCCTGGGCTAAGATGATGTCATTGGTCTGCTGCAGGCATGATGAAGCATTTCCTCAGTCTCCTCTTGCCCAGTGATCAGTTTGCTGCAGGCAGGAGGAAGCATTTCCACGGTCTCCCCTCCCCCAGTGATCAGATTGCAACTTTGTGATAAGGGTGAGAGGCTGCAACAGGGCCTGGTCTGTGTTAGGTTCCATTCACATATAGCATTTGCGTTTCCCCGCGCCAAAGACTGTGCGGGACGAAAATGCTAATATTTAAAAATCTGCACGAATACCACTCGTTTATTACTCGCTATTAAATAGACTCGTGCATTGCATTGTAAAGTGCATTGTGTTCTCTGTTTAGAGAGGCTCCACGCATATCTGTACAGCGGAATATGCGCGGACAGCCGCTCAGGAATGAATGGAGCCTTAGGCTGGGCACGCACCTTACAACCATCGCAATACTTTTGTAAGGTAATTTAAAAAATGTACGCTCTGCCTATCTTGGATAGGCAGATCGTACTTGCGATGATCGCAAGCCGCGCCCCGCTGAGGGGCGGGCTTCCGATGACCGCAATGCTGAACGGGCATCCGGCTTTTATCTTACGAACATGCTACACACCCGCCGAAAATCGTGCGATTCTCGGCGGGTTTTCGAAACATGTTCCTAAGATAAAAGTCGTGCGACCTTACAATAGTAGAGGTCGCACGGCTCCCACACACCTTAAGGTAATCGTACGATCGCGGGATTTCCCGCGATTAACGTAAGGTGCGTGGACATCTTTAGACATTTTTGAACACAGCCAACTGCAGAGGCGCCAACATTTACACGATTGTGTCATCTGATGGCACCGTTCTCATGGAGAGAAAAGCAGACAAAGGCAAAGACAGAGGGAGAACTGCGATCTCTGAGAGGTAATAAGTACCTGGAAGTGGTACACTGACTTACCATCCACGTGCATAACATGAATTCTCTGTCTTCTGAACACAACAGAGTAGCCATTAGTCACAATGCATTTGGATTCAGCCATGTGTCCACCACCTCCCAATTCATTTGTATGGGCAGCTGTACGCAGAGCCTGTGACTCCCAGGGGTGGAATGCACTCGAATTGTATGTTATGCACACCCATGAGCCCTAATAAACAAATCCCAACTAGATCAATAGTGCTTTGCAAAGCTCCGAGCCCGAGATTGACGTACTTAGACGCTCTAGCTCAGTCTTTCTCAACATTTCTTAAATGGAGGAATCCTTAAAATATCTTTCCGGTCTCCAGGATACACACCCAGGGCTGCTCTATACAATGTATACACCCAGAGCTG